AAATGGGGTCAAGTTTGGCTGAGTCTAGCGTCGTAACCATTTATGGTATAACAACAATCTTTACATAGAACAGTAACGTTTTCATGTTTGTGTTGAACGCTGTGCCTTTTACTTCTTTTCAAATTGTTTGAAACAAAAATTTTGAAAGAAATTGTTGACCTATATGTAGACAAAAAAATCCGAATTTTGATGTTTTGGTACACGATTCTAAAAGGCATTTGAACACACAATATTTCTTTATAAGCTTATTTGTCACTTAAGGCACTGGATTAGAGCCTAAAACTGCAATCAAACTTTTGTATACATGTTATGTGCAGTATATATTTGATGAATGGCAAAATATTTTAGTAATAAAAGGCGTGGTAGTTCTTTGCCTACATGTTGCTTTTTTTGGATATAAAATCCATCAAGTATTGAGCTTACTATTGGCGATCAAACAGTGATGGTTTCCCCCATAGCGTTACGCGTGCCACTTAGAAAAAATATTCAATGGGCTTATAAATAGGGTCAAGTTTGACTGACTCTAGTGTCGTAACCATTTATGGTATAAGAACAATCTTTACACTGGACGGTAGCGTTTTCTTTTTTGTATTGAACGCTTTGCCTTTATTTCTGTTCACATTGCTTAAAACAAAAATTTTGAAAGAAAATCAAAAATTCAGCTTTTACTTTGGTGGGGATTTGGCAGCATTTGGCATCTCGCCAAGCGCGTCACTGGGGCTCGCGGAGACGAGCCGGGCGTGTATGTCAATCGTATGTCGTATGTCATCGTATGTCAATGTTATCACTTCGGAATGGCTGTCATGTACTATTCAACACTGATAGGGTGCTGGTATGGCCTTGCCATTGCATTTGCTTCCTTTGAAGTTGTGATTAGCACACAAGCGTGCTATTTGCATGGTTAATAGGGGTCATGAGACAAGACTAACCTGGCCAACACAAGATGTAAACTGGACAGTGAAATTTGTTGTTGTTCATTGGTGTTTTCGGGCGCACCGACTGCAGTGGTCATTTTGTGCCCATAACGATGCTTTTACTTAATTAGTACGGTGTGAAAATGACTTGAAAATCAATATCTGTTAAGAACGAAAAGAGCTGTTTGGAAAGAACAGCATTTATGCTGTTCTGTTCTTGAACAGCTCAGCTGAACAGAAAACAACATTTACAAAACCAAACAGAACACCACAAAGTAATACCAATTGGGGCACTCTTAGTCAGGCTACCCAGGCGCCCATAGGGCCACTAGGTAGCTCGCAATCCCTCCCACCACGTAAAGGTGGTGCCCATCGGGAGAGTCCTACCTATTTACAATATAATTTGTACAAACTCCCGGCTGTGCCCCCGAACCGGCTGGCACGTAGCCGGCCGTGGGCAGAGGGCAGCCGGGGCCTTCTCCGTCCGCTGGAGTGGCGGGCAGAGGCATCCGGGGGAGGAGGCACTGTGGCCGGCCTTCTCCACCCGGGAGTCCACACGGCCGCCGCCTCCCTCTGAGCGGCAGCCGCCAGCCGCCCCCGGCGTTACCGGACGGTGCGGCCGGGAGCCTTCTTCACCCGCCGACCTGGCAGGGTGAAAGCTGGCCTAAAGGGATGGTGGCCAGCCCTCCCACGCCGTGGCGGAGACAGCTCCGTCATCCGCCACGGCGGGCCAGCTGAGTTGCTGCTTGGATATCACTCCTTCATCAGTCTTGCCAGAAACTGCTGCACGGTCCGGGTCTGGATGCTCCAGCCCGGTCGTGCGGCCAGGAAGTCTCGCACTCGTGTGGTCTTGCTCTGGGCTCCGGACCTCCCGAGCCGATTGGCTTTTGCCAGGTCCAACGTGGCAAGTTCTCCTGCCGTCCAATGGCGCCCGCTGCGGTGGTGCCCCGTTGTGCCTTGAGTGAGGCGCTTCACCCAGTAAGGGCGGAGAGCCTCGTCAATAATTAGGCCCGACTCTGTCTCGATGTCGTCAAAACCGGTCTGGGCCGAGAGCTGAGAGCTGCAGCCCGGGATCTGCAATGTCTCCTGTCCTTGGGCTGGACCTTCGTCGCTGACTGGGTGTGGCCGTTGCTCTTGTTCGATATGGACCGGCGGCTCCGGCTCAGGCTCATCATGGCTGGATGTCGGCCCCTCCTCCATTTCTTCAACCGCACGGGTCGTTGCTGGTTCCTCGGACCGCTCTTCGTCCTCGTCACCAGAATCCTCACTGGAGCTTGCCACGCCGTAGTGCTTGTTCGCCGATTTGAGGAGTGCCGACTGCACCGCATGTGCTCTGCGACCGTCCTCCATGACGTCGTAGTATCTCATAGCCGTATTGAGGCTGTGGCATCAGTAACGCGCTGCCTCATTCGCATTTGTGCCTTGTAGCGCACCCTGTGCCTCCAGCGAATGGGTGAGGTCTACGTGGTGGCGGCGGCCTCTGTTTCCGCGCACCAGCTTGGGGTAGTTGAGGTGGCTGATGGCGGGATGTCGAATTTGAATGATTTTTCATCATACATGTTCAGTTTTGGCAACAGTGTATGGTCCGACTCCCCCTCGCGGAGCAGGTGTTGACGTAGGTGGGTGATGTAGAACGATATCACACGGTGCAGCCGGCCCGAGATGACCAAGGTGACAGTGCGGTGAATATGTTTAGTTTTTCCACCCGCGTGGTTGATGGTGTAGTCGTTGCCCACCTTTTGCGCGTCTAAAAACTCCGACACCGTCACGTTCTTGAAGACTCCTGGTCGTGTTTCTGAGGTAATTTGCGCCGCCACACAAACCATTTCGCGGACTTTGACAGCCACATGCCGCTTGGCCACAGCGTTTGTGGGCAGTCCGTCTTCGCCACCTTCCATGATGCGTGTTAGGTGGCGCTCCACCTCTCGCCTGATCAGCACCCTCTCGTCATGTGTGAGCTTGTCCTCAGTCATATGTTTCAGTTTCCGCACTGACTGTCGCGTCCGCATGGCATCCTGATTGTCCTTGATGACTGACGACAACATGGCAATGGTTAGTTCCAACATGTCGTTCCACGCGGCGCCGTTCATCACTTCTGCGAGCCGCTGGTATACAGACTTCAGGAATGCGCGTACTGCCCAGGTCATCCCCATGCCCATGTCAGGCGACTCCTGATAAACTTGGTCCAGTGTGGTTCTGATGCGGCGCCGGTTTTCCTGTGATGCCAAAATGTACCTAAAGTGTGGCACGGCCAGACTGAGACGCTTTTCAAACCCGGCCAGGAGACTTCGGCCGGATCGGCTGATTTTGGTGCGAGCGTACGCCCGTGCGGTTGCAAAAAGGTCGTGTCTTCCTGAGTAGCAACGCACGGAATCTCTGAGAATGGCTTGATCTTTCCATTCTGTTGGCGTCATTGTGGGACCTGTTCCCCTTCGTCTTTCCATGCTTGCGAGCGTTTCTTTCAGGCCGCTGAACTTATCCCCCTTCAGCGGCATTTTCAGGGCCATCGCCACGTCGAGGTCGTCTGCGACCGACTGGTGCGTCGCCGCAAAAATTTCTTGCCGAACGGCGCGTCGGCCATCAGCCTGAAGGTGCCGGTGCCTCGCGCTCTGGGATAGGTGACGCGCCAGAGCGCGCGCCACCGTCTTGTCCGCTTCTGACTTGTTGACTGTGGCGCCGCAGGGGCAGGGCAGCGTACTCTTTGCGTTGGCCTTCACGTATGTCGTGATTCTTGTTTTGTATCTACACCAATGTTGTATGGGTGAGGGGTCAAGACGGCAAGCGTGGTGCCTCGCTTCCCCAGTGCGGACAAGCTTGCCACAGGGGCAGGCCAAGCTGTCTTTCTCGATGACCCAGTCTCCTGTTGTTGGGCCCTTGGCCACCGTAATGTTTGCCAGACTGGCTAGATCGGACTGCGCGGCTTGGGCATCCCGCTCCGTCTGGCTAATGGTGCTCCCTGCCCTCTGCTCCCTGCCTGACTGCGGGGTCTCGTTGCGAGGGGCCGTGCCTGGGCCAACCATGCCCCACCGTTGCTCCACACCACGGTCGGGCCCTGCGGTGGCCAGTCCTATGTCATAGTTTGTCCACTGGTGGCCACTCCCTCCCTCAAGGCCATGCGCATTTATGTCAAAAATCATTCTGGTACTGCTTGCTTGGCCATCCCCCGCGCCGAACACAACGCGACGGCGCTTCGTCTCCGGTGACTGCTGGTCACATGGGTCGTCATCCGACTCCCAGTCGATTGGTGGCTGATACGACTCGTCCGCGTCGCAATCGCTGGGCGTCACGTCAGACATCTTCTACGTCAGACTCCGGTGCACCGTTCGAAATGTGATTACACAACGTGGCCGGCCGCCGTGGAGCGTCCAACGCTACGTATGCTCTGGTGCCCAGGTCTGGTGCTGCTCAACAGCAAATGTTTTAACTTACCTGCCGTCCAGCGACGACACCGGCACGCACACTTACGATGGGCCCGAGCCGGCTCGCCCGCGCCATAGACACTGCGTCGAGTTGTGTTCTGTCTCAGATATATGCTATTTGCCCTTTTTGGGGGTTCAGCTTTTACTTCGGTGGGAATTTGGAAATATTCGGCAACACATATTTTTCCGCAAAATCAAGACGTGCGCGCAACGCGCGCGACACTTACGCTGCCTACCGACCATTGTTTGGAACAGTAGCGCGAGGAGTACCGCGACTGGTGGTTGGTGCAGATAAAGGCACTATATTAATTTAGCTCAGTTTCATTAACTGAGAAAAGCATTGTATTATACTCAGCGACGGTGTGTGCATGTGGTAATTAGATGTGGTGATGCTAGCTTTATGCGACTGGGTTGATACGTGTGGATGCCAGCTGCACGTCCCGGATTGTGCAGTTTTGTACATAACTTAATGTGGCGTGTGAGCACAGACATCTGCTATCTCAAACAAATGGTACAAACCATGTCCTCCCTGATTTACTCAATTTTTGTCTTCTGAAATTGGTGGAGTGGTTGGCATTCTATCCAGTTACATAGGGCACCACACACTTGTTCACACACTTGTTATGTCTTAACCTGGTTGCTCAAGCATTTTTGCTGATAGTCAAGGATGACTAACAGGTTAGTCATAAAGGCATCAACTATTTTTGTTCAGTAACAGGAAACTATTTGCATTAGCTGAGCTGATAAAGCTTGCTGATAAAGCTGATAGCTGCTGATAGATGCACAAGCTGGCACATAGCTCATGGCATGGCACAAGCTGATAAAGCTTTTGCCATGCCATGACAATGTTTCAGAAGCCCTGTCAGAATGTGATGACATGACTGCAAGAAAGTTCAGTTTGGTTGTCAAATTGTCAGGATTCAATCTCACTGTTTCAGAAATGTCATGGAAATTCATATTAAATCCAAGGAAACACACTAGTGCTAAGCGTGAACTGTGATAAACAAGTGTAACTAGCAACATGATGAGCTATTATTTCTAAGAGGCTGCGACTTCTTTGTTGTGACAAGAGAGCTCAGTCGTGTACTGTTCTGTCCAGACTGTCCTGCTCAGATAATGTCCTTCTAATGTCCTGTGGCCGTTGTGGCCGAAATGCACTGTCCTAACATGCTGCGTCCTTCCAATGCACGACATCCACTTGACTACTGTTGGGGACTTCAATGACGTCATCGCCAAGTTCGGGCACAATGGCTGGAACGTTACACTGGTGGCCGCCGGCGCCGGCGAGCTGGCCGGCCTGCGGCCCACCTGGCTGGCTTGCATTGGGTGGCACATACGTGACACCCTGCAGTCCGCCTCCATACTAGGTGACCGGCTACGTCAGCCCGTCACAGGAAGGCGGTCCTAACATTGGGTGGCCGATGCCGAGCCCGCCAGCGGTGCACTCCACCGTGTACAGGCCAAACGTCTGCGCGTTCTGCAAGAGCAACGATGAGCCGGCCAGCTTCTACAGCAGCCACGTGCTGAAGGTAAGCGCCGCTGACTGATTGGTGCCAGATAGGATCATGCGCGCCATCCCCATCTCCACACTATCTCCCGTCACTGTCTGTACTGATTCAGATTCAGAGGCTGATTCGGAGGTCAATGTTGCGTTCAGATAGATTCAGGGCGGAAAAACTCCACCTGAACTGTAGAAGACACGTCATCGACCATGGCGGGATGGCTTATATGTCCATCGCGCTCGTGTCCGTGCCAGCCAACGAGTGCATGCACCCGCTGACGAGTGTGACGCCTGTTGCGGGACGAAAACGGCGTGGTGCGCCGCCCGGTGCTGCGCGCCTACACCTGCCCCACGTGCGGCTGGACCGGCGACTGGGCGCACACGCTGAAGTACTGCCCGCTGCGGCTTGTCGCGGCTCATATGGCCGCCCGGCGGCCAGTGAGGGCCTGTGCGGGCACCCAGACCTTGCCCACCTGGAACCGTGTATCCCACCCAGCGCCCGAGCGTCCTCCCCCTGGCGGAGCAAGGGCCGGCAGACGCCGCGGCAGGCGCTAGGGCACGGGGTAATGCGCTCTCCAGCTCAGGGATGTGTTGCACGGTTTGTCCACGACGTTTATTTTGACACTCCCCTTTTATGTGGACTTGACGTTTGATTTTAAGCGCTCACGTTCATCTTGGTACTTTTGTTTTATATTGGCGGGGTTCGATGTTGGCGTTGCGGCACCATGATGATGTGCCATGGGTTGTTCCTGATGTCTTCTGATGCCGAGATGTCTTGTACCTGATGCTTGCGTCCAGTATGGACACCCTTATGTCGCGGTTTCGCGTTGGGGTCTTCGCCGCATGGTTCGTAAAACATTGAGAGGAGAACACGGTACGCCATTGATCAATGTTTTCATTCGTCATCAAAAATGGTTCAATGCAGAATATACCGTACAAATATATAATCGACAAATATATTGTTGTGTCTTTTCGCGTTGGCTTCGTACTACGCTGATAGGAGTCCAATTGCGGTATATGCGGTATCCAGCCAGGTGATGGGCAGCGCGCCCCTCAATGGCGGGGAGACGGCGCTCGCGCTGATGCGGTGTTCCCAGACTCGCTTCCCGTCCGACGCCGCGGGCAGGCGACGGCGACGCGACCCGACTCACCGCACGTCCAGCAGCGCCGCAGTGGTCATCTCGCCAAGCGCGTCACTGGGGTTCGCGGAGACGTCCTTGCACGCGCCACGCGCCACGGCCGCCGCTACAGCGACGCGCTCATTACCGAGCGCGGCTCGTGCCCATGCGAGAACGCTCGTTACGTCCAGCGCCACGATCCATCGTACGTCAGGATGAGCCGGGCGTCAAACGGCCCGCTTCCATCCCGCGTGACGGCCCTGCTCCCGGTGGCGCTCCCGCTGGGTACCGAATATATTAGTTTTAGACGGTATAGGGGGCACCAGGGGGGCACCCGTAGCTGGATGGCCGGGTTCATTGCCTGCCGTACCCGCTTCCGGCCGTCATCGCCTGCCCCGTAGAAGGATGCGGGGCGTCGTACGCTGCCACCTCTGCCACCACCGCTGCCAACGCAGCGCGCCAGCATTTGCCAACACGCTCACAGCGCCCGGACCACGGCATATCAGTAACCAGCACGCCGTGGTTCTGCGCCTGGTGCCGGCACCAGCTCATCGCGCGGCTTTCCCACCTTCACGACGCGGCACGGGCTGCTCAACCACCGAGCTCGCTGTCCGCGTTAGCCCGACACCGAGCCGGCCCGCACCGTCGACCTCGGGCTGCCGCAAGCCATGACACCACCGGAGGCGTTGCCGCAGCGGCCACGTAACGTGGAACTTTGCGGCGCTTTTACATTAGTTCAAGGATATTTCAAGTTTATACAGATATTTGTCACCTCAGACACGGGATTAGAGCCAAAAAAATGCAACCAAACTTATTTATACTTGGCATGTACAGCTAATATTTCTGGAATTAAAACCAAATTGTGGTAGGCAAAATATTCGGTACTCCTTTGTCTCCATGTTGGCGTTTTCGGATTGAAAATGCATCAAGTATTGAGCTCACTAGCGGCGATCAAGTGTTCCTAGTTTTCCCCATAGCGTTACCCGTGGCACTTGAAAAAAAATATTCAATGGGCTTATAAATAGGGTCAAGTTTGACTGACTCTAGCGTCGTAACCATTTATGGTATAACAACAATCTTTACACTGGACGGTAGCGTTTCCTTTTTTGTGCTGAATGCTGTGCCTTTTTTTCCTGTTCAAATTGTTTAAACAAAAATTTTGAAAAAATTTTGACCTATATGTAGACAAAAAAAATCCGAACTTTGATGTTTTGGTACGCGAATCGAATAGGCATTTGAACAAAAGTAGTTTTTTATAAGCTTGTCACTTCGGACACTGGATTAGAGCCCAAAACTGCAATCAAACTTTTGTATACATATTATGTGCAGTATATACTTGATGAATAACAAAATATTTGAGTAATAAAAGACGTGGTAGTTCTTTGTCTACACGCACGTTTGGAAGGTAGCCCTGGAGTATTAGCCGAGTTGCACCTTATGCTTTCTATATCAGACGCTGCAAAGTTGAATGCCGCGAACATTTTTTTTCACGGAAATGCATTCTATGTAGCCCGGATATCCAAATTAGCTTAATTACTACTTGTGCAGCTTTCAGCATTTCTCAGAATTTAAGATGGCGGCCGCCACCATCTTGAATGTTGGGCCAGTTTCAAAGTTTTATCTCGGCGATTTGGAGGGTCGTGTGATATCTTTTCATAGTGATTTGCGATGGCAGGCAGCCCATTTCTTCAGTTATTTTTAACGCATATGGTCAAAGTCAAGGTCAAAATCCCAAGTCAAAGGTCAACTTGATTATGAATCACCATGATCCCTCTATTGATCGAAATATGTCGTTTGCTGTCTACTCGTACTCATTATAAGGGTGCCACTCACAGGAACTACATGTTTTACGTACCATATTTATACTTATAATGAGTACGATACTTATACTTATAATGAGTGCGAGTAGACAGCAAACGACATATTTCGATCAATAGAGGGATTATGGTGATTCATAATCAAGTTGACCTTTGACTTGGGATTTTGACCTTGACTTTGACCATATGCGTTAAAAATAACTGAAGAAATGGGCTGCCTGCCATCGCAAATCACTATGAAAAGATATCACACGACCCTCCAAATCGCCGAGATAAAACTTTGAAACTGGCCCAACATTCAAGATGGCGGCGGCCGCCATCTTAAATTCTGAGAAATGCTGAAAGCTGCACAAGTAGTAATTAAGCTAATTTGGATATCCGGGCTACATAGAATGCATTTCCGTGAAAAACGTTCGCGGCAGTCAACTTTGCAGCGTCTGATATAGAAAGCATAAGGTGCAACTCGGCTAATACTCCAGGGCTACCTTCCAAACGTGCGAGCTGACATCCTAAAGCGTATAGACGTACTTCTTCCAAAAACATCGTTCATCGTTTGGCATCGTTTTCACCCGCCCGCTGGCCGCCATCTGGTGTTAGCCGAGATCAAGCGCCGCACGGCCCACGGAGACTGCAAACTGAGACTGATACTGAGACTGAGACTGCAATCTACGCTCGCAAAGCTCTGCACATCCCAGTAACATTTCGGCACAGCCACTGAGTGCTATCGGCTTAGAAAATATCCACTGAGCCATTGCCAAATGATCAGCGTTGTTGACGCACTGTATGCTGCTATTTCACACATGGTTCTTTCAGTTCACTGAATTCAAAATGTACAGAGCTGTATTTTTCGTCGGGTTATGGCTTATGTTTCAATTTCAGATAAATACTAAGGTACAACTAAGAAAATCTCGCTCCTCGAAATCAAGGGTGTGATATGCGGTGATTTTTGTTTCATTTTGGGGGGAGGGCTTTCACTCGGGTGCGACCCGTTGTCAACCCTGTGTCCCCTCCCACCTTACCAAGACTGACTGCAACTCTGCGCGGGCAAGCTCATTGAGCATCGGGTATACGTACATAACTATAATCGCATGGTCACTGAAGAGCCACCCCAACGAGCAACACTGTTAAAATCAACCTGCGTTGCGTATGGCATTGCCATGAAGGGAGTTTAATTTGTCACGCGTTCGAGCTGAAGCGGGTGAGGGTCCCTTTCCCTTAGAGGCACAGCAGCTTGGAAAAGTGTTCCCCAGAAGTGCAGCAGGCTCGCAATGCGTTTTCTTTTTTTAAACGAGCGGAGAAAAGGCGTTCGCAACGGGAAGACATGTGCCTTGGCGTATTTGGGGAAATACTGAGGTTCATGTTCTAAAGTGATGCGTGCGAAGTGCTGATGCTTTGCATTACATTGACTGAAATGCATGCGTTTGGTGTGTGAAGAACCAGCGCGTAGACAGGTTGTAATAGCCACATATATCGTGAACGCTCCATTTTTGTGTGCATTAATACATGGAACACAACTTACTTGACAAATAATGGTGAATTATGCGAATATTTCACTTTTCAGTATGCTAGAGAGGTGCAACTGTACACCTTTAGCTTCACAAAACAGTTGCGCTTGTGAGAAGCTGATGCACACTATTAGACGTTTACATGCAATTGCTGCCGCTACGCACATAAGTTTTTAATAGCATGTAGTAGGTTTGGGTTATATATATATATATATATATATATATATATATATATATATTCAAAATACTAGCTCACCTTCAGAGAAGGTAATAGAGCGGACAGTGGGGAGAATCTGGCGGTGCCTGAGCCTGGCCGTAATGAGACCATGTCGCGCCTCTTCTCCCATCTCCGCCGAACACGTCCCGGTGACGGTGCGCACAGGTGAATCACCGAGACGAGCAAGCGACTACCACTGTGTACCACATATGAACCAAATCGAAAGGGTGCGCCCTTATCGGTTACTGAAATAAATTGTTTCGAAACTTACTGGATATTGTTATCATTGTTTGGTGAGAATGTTGCAGCATGTGGGTGGGGCTTTGGTCTCGCTTCCAAACCACAATATTATTGTCACGCCCGTCCCTATA